GGGTAGATGTGTGCTTCTTGGGCCGTCTTGGGGCGATATCGGGGGCTGTTTGGCCGTTTTGATCGAAAGCTAGAAGAGGCGAGAACGCTAACATTCGTTCACACGTGACTGGAGTCAACGATTTTGGCCTCTCGGGCCTCTCTTGGGGAGCCTCTTAGAGCCCTCTTGGGGCGCCTGGGGGGCCTCTTGGGCCGTCTGGACCATCTTGGGCGTCTTGGAGCGATCTTCGGGCGACTCGGGGCCCTCTTGGACTGTCTTAGGGGTCTTTTGAAGCCCCCGTGGGCCGTCTTTGGTTCCCTTTGGCCCCGTGGTGAGAAAATGTGCATGCGGGAGCCTCTGACAAATTTAAGAATTCGGGGTCAGGGCCTTTAACTGGTCAATCTTCAGGACTGAGGGCGGAGAGCTTGAGGGACCTGGGTGATAGTCGAACTTGTGCCTCATGGCACGATGGCGGACATGCACATGTACACATACATACATACATGCATACATATATATATATATATATACACATATATATCTATATGTATGTATATATCTATAGATAGGGAGAGAGGGAGAGAGGCGACCGATATTTGTGCATATGTATTTGCAGAGAGAGGGAGAGAGAGAGATAGAGAAAGAGATGTGCATGCATGTTCAGATGTACGCAGGTGGCAAGTCTCTGCCGATGCTCACGCAAAAAGAATGAAGCATGTAAGCATCGCATGAGGTGGGCAACCAGAGAAATCTGAAGTTGGATCAGAGAAAAACGAGGAGGAGTACGGAGATGGAGAAACAGAGGGAACATCAATGATGGAGTATGCTGCCAGGGACTGTTGGGAAGAAGGAGCTGTAGCGGGATCACAGAACGCAGGAAGGGTTGCTACATGTTGCGATGGTTGAGTGATGGAGGAGGTGTCTTCGCACCTTGCGATTGCAGTTCAAGAGAAGCTGCGAAACCAATTGTGGGAGGATGTCCCGAGCGAAGCCGACGTTTTGAATCTTATGGTGACGCTGTTGAATTCGTCGGGCTTCAATGCTGGGGGATATATCCCGCGAGCCGTCTGGTTTTTCTAAGAGCGACGTCCACACTCGTTGGAACCAATTGCATGTTGAACATCGTATGTGAAACTGTTGGACGTCCATTGTGTTTCTGGACCGCGACGGTGCGATCTGCGTGAGGGGTGCGTCTGAGCTTCTGAACTGTCAGGACGTTCCGAGCGAAATGGTCAGACAACGCGCCACGGTTTCAATTACTCGCCTCTGAATTGTAATCTCTCGGAGACATGCATGTTAATTGGCTTGTGCGTTTGGTTTAGTTACTTCGTGTTTTATCATCTTGTTCGTTTCTATATTGCTGTCTATAAACGCCATAAGAATGGTGGCCTTTGGTCCGTCCCCCTGCTGCGCCTGAGTTAACTGTCATAGGCCTCTGGGTTACCTGTTGGGAACTACGGTGAGGCCTCGAAGGTCTCTTGGAGGCAGTTGTGGGGTATCTTGGGACCTCTCTGTGTCCTCTTAAGGCACCCCCTGGGTCTTCTTGGAGGCCCCTTGGGAGCGTGCTGGCGGTCTCGGGGGCCATCTCGGGGCGAAGGGCTCGACATGCCCGTCCGTGCTCCTCGTCTTGGGCGCCCTTTTGGGCTGCCCTGGGGCTCTCTCGGGCTGCCTCGGGGCCACCTCTGGGAGCCTCTTGGGCCGCCTTGGGGCGATCTTATAGGGTCCTCCTGGGCCGTCGTGGGGCACAGGGGGCGCGAAGAAGGCGGGAGTGGAGTCACATGAGGAGGAGGAGGAGGAGGAGGAGGAGGAGGAGGAGGAGGAGGAGGAGGAGGAGGAGGAGGAGCTGTGACAGACCAACCAGGAGTTTGCTTATCGTATCCCTCTGGGCGTCTTGGGGACCTCGGTGGGCCGCCTTGGGGCAATCTTGGACGTCTTAGGGGCGCTCTTGGGCTGTTTCGGGGCGCTCTTGGACCGTCTGGGGGACCTTCTGGGGCGCTCTTCAGCCGTCCTGTGGGGCCCTCGGGGCTCGGGAAGCAACTCGCGATGAGGCCCGAAAAGGTGGGATCACGCGACGTACCTGGGATATTCCCACAATAGGGCCTCTTAGCCTCTTGGTATCTGTTGCTCAGCAGGGCCGAGGACTCGAATTTACCCAATGACTTTCCGTCTCGGTGCACGGCGGCGGAGAGAGAGAGAGAGAGAGAGAGAGAGAGAAAGAGAGAGAGAGGGGGGGAGATGCGGATACACATGTCTCTGCATGTGCTGCATGTATGTGGATACACACAGCTATACACATGTATGTTTGTGTATATATATATATTTATGTATATCTATATTCATACAAAGTGGCATATTTAGATAGGCAGGGGGAGGGAGAACGATACACATATATATTGAGAGAGAGAGGGAGAGAACGAGCGATATAATATATACATATAGACAGAGAGAGAGAGACACACACACAGCTAAAAGGAACGAAGCAGCAGAACTTGCGGGAGGGCCAGAAGGGAGCGAGGGTTTGAGAGGAGGGAGGACCGAGGAGGAGCCTGGGAATGTGGAGGAGGGAGGCCCACGAGGTGATGCGGGGGTGCCCGGGCCGTGGGAGGGAGGACGGCGGAGCGCAAGGGCGGGAAGGAAGGAGTGAGGGCAGCGCGGGCAGCGCGTCGCTTGCCAAGGTGCCGCACTAGGCGTGCCAAAGGTCCGAGTTGTAGAGGCGACGCCGGTGGAGGACGGCTCGGGGTTGTGAGCGGCCTCTGAACGGGCGCCTGCACCTTACAGAGTCCATCCAATCCCATATTCAGAATGGGGTGGAGCAATAACACTAGCGAGCGAGCGCCGAATCGGGGTGCATACACACATGGGAATGCATGGATTCTGACACTGCGCCAACCGTGCGACACATTTGGGGCGTGTGCTCGCAGCGGCAACAAAAACATCGCATCAGCTACTGAGCCATACGATTGTTCCGCAGTGCGCTCTCTGCGTCGGCTCTCTGCGCACTTTTCCATCGTTCTTGCTCTCCCACAGGCCCAGGGGTTTCCGCTGACCCCCTAAACCGATTGACCATGTGTATCTTGTTGAGGGCGCTGGTTGAACCTGAAAGTCACTAGCCCATTCCCGTCACCATGGGAGACTGCCTGGTTTTGGAAAGACTTATGTTTTTACGTTCGCGGCGGCTGTATGTTGCTCGTCATAGGGCAGATTCGTTGCACTACATGCTGCCTGGATTTATTGTCGGTTGGCTGTGCGTTGGTTGAGGCCATCCAGAGCACGAGGGATGCAGTGGGAGCACTGTCAGGCTGGGCGGAAGTCGTGGCGCCTCGTGGGCGATTGCCTTGTCCGCTCTTGGTCGCAGAGGGCGCATGTGCCGGGATCGGCTCGGGGCGCTCTTGCGGCGGCCAGCTCCCGCCCGACGGCCTGTTGGCAGAAGCGGAACAGCAGCAGCAGGAGGAGGAGGGGGGAGGAGGGGGAGGAGGAGGAGGAGGAGGAGGAGGAGAAGGAAGAGGGGGAGGAGGAGGAAAAGGAGGTGGGAGGAGTAGGAGGAGGAGGAGGAGGAGGAGAAGGAGGAGGAGGAGGAGGAGGAAGGAGCAGGCACTAGGGAGACCCTGAGGGCGGCCCCGGGCGCCCCGTCGAGGCTGCCCAGAAGGATCGAGGCATTCTGTGGGCTGCCTGCGTGGGCCGTTCTCCCGCGTGCTCGCCCTGGCGTGCTCGCCGCGCGCGCCTCTGTCCCCCTCGCTCCCTCCTCCTCCTCCCCCCTCCTCCTCCTCTCCTCTTCGGCTCTTCCACGTCTGCTCGTCACCCGTTCTCGCCGCGGGGCCCCCTCTGGGTGGTCGCAGAAGCGCGAAGGCCGTTCTGGGCCCTTCGGTTCGGAGACGGCGCTTGAGCTGCAGGTCACCCGCGGGGGCGCGAAGATCATCGCGCTTCGCGCGTCGCGGCCTGGGCCGGAGCGGCTGCCCTGCTCGGAGGGGGCGGCGGGAGGGCGCGAGGGCGTGAAGAGGATCGCCTGTCGCGCATCGCGGGGCCCTGGGCCCCTGGAGTGCCTCCTCGAAGCAGGTCTGGGAGCAGGTGCCCCCCCCCGCTTGGGAGGCCGCCCCCGGAGGCCTGGCCCCCCCCCCGCTCGGAGCGGAGAGCGGTGCGCGAAGGTAGGCGACCCAGTCGAGGGAGCGTTGCGGCATGAGTGTGCGCTTGCCGACGCGGCTTGGGCGTATGGCTTCTGCCTCTGCCCGTCCTGGGGCCGTCTCGCCTCCGCGCGGCGCCAGGGCGGGCCGGCCGTGGCACAGGCAGGTCGGCTGGCGAGTCTGGGCCGACGTGCTCGAGCGGGCACCCGGACCTGCCAGCCTCATGATGTTCCAGCCTGCTTTAGCTTTGATCACCAGAGATGATTTCGTGCACCAGAAACATACCGAAATTTGTGGGTTTTCACGCGTCGGGCCCTGGGAGGCGATACTCGCTCGACACTGTCTCGATACTTTTCGGGGCGCTCGAGGTTCTTTCCGGGAGGGGGTCCCCAAGTACGACGGGAGCAGCAGGATGCCAGCCAGAGGTTCCTGGCGTCTGCGAGAAGCACAAAGTCCGTCCCACAGCCTCGAGAGCTGGAGCGACGGCATCCCGCCGCGCCCCCCCCCGGGGTCACGGCTCATGCTCGCACGCACGCCGTGGCCCGCAAGAGTGGGCATCTGAGCAGCATGTTCGAAGCGGGCCCCGCACTTGGAAGGAGGAGGAGGAGAAGGAGGAGGAGGAGGAGGAGGAGGAGGAGGAGGGGGGGAGGGGAGGAGGAGGAGGAGGAGGAGGAGGAGGAGGAGGAAGGCGGGTGCACATGTCCGACATCGGCACCTTTCAAGGATGGGCGTCCTTGCTCGATTGCCACGGTTTCGCACAGCTTGTCCATTTTCGGCATGTCGGAATCGGCGGGCTTTGTAATGACTACCCCGCTCTTGCCTGTTCTTGGATTCGCCGCTGTGTGTCGTGAGCTCATCCTCCTGTTCAATCCCCATCACCGCACCAGTGCGATCAGGCGCGCCATGCAGAAGCCGCAGCTGGTGTCATACACGCCGAGAAATAATTTGTCGGCCGTCTACGAGAGCCGGTTCACGAACAGTTTCAACACCGCGAACCCCGCTGCAGATTTGAAGAGGCGTCCCCATTCAAGAAAAGGATGAGGAGCAGCAGCAGAGGAGTATTGGAGGGCACTCGGGCAGGACAAGGGAGGAACGGGGGAGCAATTTTCATCACGCCCGATGTTTGATTCGCTCCTCGTCCCCTTCCTCATCCTGATCAGATCGATCCTGCTCGTGATTCTCGTCCTCGTCCTCCACAGTCCATTTTCCTTATAAGTGACTCCTGCCTGTCGCACCCCCCGAACGTGTCGGTAGGGCGGACCGGGCATTTTGCTTGAGCTTGCCTCGCTGTTTATGATCTTGGATCTTGAAATTTGCACCAGCTTCACGGATGGATGGGGGGGCATTCCCAAACATGTCTCTCGCCTTCGCGCCGCGCGCATCCTACATGCGTATAAATTGTGCAACAATATCACGGGTGGAGGGGGCATCGTTTTCACCATGTGGCCTTCGTTCCAGCGCCGCGCACATTCGTCTCAAAAGCTTGCAGTAGCTTTACACACGGAGGGGGCTCGCTTTCCAGCTGGGTTTCTTGCCTCAGCGCAACGCACATTCTTGTCAACTTCAGCCATGGTCTCACGGAAGGAGGGCGGCACCTTTTCAAATTGCATCTCTCGAGATCGCTCTGCGCAAGCATGTGCAATAGCTGCAGGCATGGAGAGGGGGCCCTCAAAATGTGGTTCTCGACTGAGGGCCGCGAACATTCGCTGTAAACGTTTGCCATACTTTCGGGGATGGAAGGCACGTCTTTGTCAAAATCGTGCTCTCGCCGTAGCGCCGCGCACACTCGTCTCAAAATCTTGCAACAGTTGCCAATTACGTTTGACCATGGGTCGTTTTGAAAATGGAGTTCGGGCTTTAGCGCTGCGCGCATTCGTTTTTTGATGCAACGTTTCGCAAGACGAATGATTTGTTTCATGTTGGTCAGCGTGGGGTCCAACGTGGATGTGTTTAAGCGCTATATGTGGTACAAGATATGAGATGCAATTCCCCCTGCCGAACTTGAAGTTGTCAAGTGCACTGGTCGCGCAATCATCTCACCCATTCACCCTCAACTTTGATTGCATGACGCATGCGGCGGCGACTGCGATGACTGCTGGGCGCTGCCTGGCGCATCGACGCGGCCGCGCTAGCGCGCATTTGGAGTCATCCCAACATATTGATACGATGTGTGAGTCGCACCCCCCCATGGGCGACGCGCGCACCGAGCAATCTTATAGTAGATGCGTCGTGGCGGGCGCTTTTTGCCACACTGCTCGGGAAACGATCCGCCACAAGAGGGGTAACTGTATGTTCGGGTCGGACGCACACCTCCACGGATAACATCTAATACTCGTATGTATATGCGCGTCCCACGCATGCTTGCGCGCAAAGCGTCGAGCTAGTTTGGCGCGGTCGACGCGGCCACGGTGGCGCTGACCGCTGGGCACTTCCCAGCGGGCACTTCAGTGCGAGTCGGCGACTTGGCGGTAGCATGGCAACGTCGACAACGGTAGATGTTGGTGGCGATGATGACAACGACGACGGCACGGCCAGTGACGGTGCCGATGCGGATCACGTCGACGACGATAACGGCGTCCTCGCGTCGGTGATGAAGGTGTTGGAAGGAGTTCGACACGCGCGCGCGGCCAACGCGCGAGAGTGGCCCGCATAGTGTTATTTGACGCCGATCGTGCCCCGCCAGCGCGCGCGCCAGAGCGTTCGAATAATGTCGACATGTGGCGCGAGAAGCCCGTCTGGCCGAACTTCATGAACATGTTGGAAGAATGATCGGGTTCTTACGAATTCGCAAGACCGCGAGCGCAGGCCTGTCTGAACACTGTTGTTGCAATACCGTGTGTGTTATATGTATGTGTTCGGAACATTGGTTTCGAAATCTGTAGGACAACCGAGATTTGTGCAGGGTTGCCGCATGCGCGCGCGCCGACGCGCCCGTGTGCACTTCGCCCCGTTTGTTGAAAAAGGGGGTCTTGCGACAGCACACGCGCAAGGGCGTTCTTGCGATTCCGAAATGCGCGCCCGAGAAGCCCGTCTGGTAGCATGTTAGGGGAATCTGGGGAAACACATTTTACTGTTGTAGTCAGTGATATCTTGTGTATATATACACACATGAAAACAACGTTGTTGGGGCAACATGCTTGTTTTATTCCTATATTTCGGGACAATGGGTTCTGACATCTTCACACCTAAGGTTTATGCTTATTTTTTGCAAGGGTTGTTGGAAAGTGAGGAGTTTTGATGAACAACTGTGTGCGCATATGATTTTTGGGCAGGGGATTAATAGGGGGGTTGGTACTAGCCTAGTTGGGACATTACGAATTCATATTTCGAATGGACAATGGGGCAGGCTCATATGTACGTTGCAGTACGAAAATGGGGGCCTTTAGTTTCCAGGGAGGGGTGTGTGTGTGCATATTTTTAACAGAGGAGGACTCATGTGGTGCAATCGATGTTGTGCAGTCTGTGCCTTGTGCAGATTATGTGGTGCAATCTATGAGTCAAAGTCTATGTGGTGCAGTTCACATTCACTGTCTTGACGCTGTCGTTTTCGCTGCTCGTGCATACATCCCACCCGCAAGTTGGTCGCATGACCTTTTCCAACCGTGACGGTGGGTACCAAATAGCACTTGGCAACGACACCGACGCCGACGACGACAGCAACAACAACGACGACGACGCCGACGACGACTACGACGACACCGACGACACCCCCGACGACTTCGTCGACGACGACAGCGACGACGACGCCGACGCCAACGACGACGACGATGACGACGCCGACGACGACGACAACGACGCCGCCGACGACGACGACGCCGACGACGACGACGCCGACGACGACGACGACGAAAACGATAACGACGACGTCGCCAACGAAGACGACGACGACGAGGGAGGAGGGAGGACGACGACGGCGACAACGACGACAACGACGAAGGAGGAGGGAGGACGGCGACGCCGACGACGACAACGACGAGGGAGGAGGGAACACGACGACGACGACGACGACTACGACGGCGACGAAATAGGAGGGACGACGATGAGACGCCGACGACGGACGACGACGACGAGGGAGTAGGAAAGACGACCACGGTGACAACGACGACGGAAACGACGACGACGCCAAAGAGGACGACGACGACGAGGAAAGACAGAGGATGACAACGGCGACGACGACGACGAGAGAGGAGGGTAGACGGCGACAACGACGACGCAATAGCGCGCGCGCACATTTTTTCTGAACACTCGTGTTGCGAAACCATGTGTTTTTGTATGTTTTTTGAACGCTCGATTTTGAAATCCTTCCGATATCGGAGGTTTTTGACGCATTTCGGCATGCGCGCGCGACGACGCGCGCGCGGGCACGTCGTCCTGTTTGTTGCAGAGGGTTCTCGCGACGGCACGCTCGCAAGGGCGTTCGAACGATTTCGACAGGCGCGCGCGAAGCCCGTTTGGTAGCATTTTCTCAAATAGTATTGAAACACCTATGGTTTTCTCATGATTTCGCAAGAGGATTGCGAAACCATTTGTTTTTGTATGTTTTTCGGCAACTCGATTTTGACATCCTTCCGAAACCGAAGGTTTATGAAGGATTCCGGCATGCGCGCGCGACGACGCGCGCGCGCGCGGGCACGTCGTCCTGTTTGTTGCAGAAGGTTCTCGCGACGGCACGCTCGCAATGGCGTTCGAACGATTTCGACAGGCGCGCGCGAAGCCCGTTTGGTAGCATTTTCTCAACTAGTATTGAAACACTTATGGTTTTCTCATGATTTCGCAAGAGTATTGCGAAACCATTTGTTTTTGTATGTTTTTCGGCAACTCGATTTTGACATCCTTCCGAAACCGAAGGTTTATGAAGGATTCCGGCATGCGCGCGCGACGACGCGCGCGTGTGCACTGCGTCCCGTTTTTGCTGTGGGTTCTTGACAACTTATGAATTGTGATGCACGGGTGTGCGCGCATAGCTTTTTTTGCAAAGGATGGCTGGGGGGGCGATGCCGCCCCCCCTGGGTTAGTGTAAGTTCATATTTAGGATGGACGATGGGGCAGGGTCATATGTGAGTTGCACAACATCATGGGGGATCGTTAAGTCTGGGGGGGGCGAGGGTGGTAGAAAAATTGTAATAATGGAGAATCTATGCTGTGCAACTGTGTCGTGGGAAATATGTGTTGTGCAACGTATGTGGTGCAATGTATACGGTGCAAGCTATGTTGTGCAATTTATATATCGTGCAACGAATATTCGGTGCATTCCATGTTGCACCATCTACGTGATGCAATATATGTGGTGTACTACCTGTTTTACAACTCATGGTGTGCAGCTTTCGGCTGCAATGTGTGTGGTGCAATTCGCACTGCCAAACTTGAATTTGTCAATTCCACGGCTTGCGCCATCACCCCACCCACTCGTCCGCAAGTTGATTTAAAACACCCATGCGGAAACGATTGCGGTGCTTGATTCGCGCTGAATGGCGCATCGCCGCGGCCACGTTCGCGCGCGCAGGCTCGCGCGCAGAGCGGCCAGTTGGTCTGCCGCGACCGACGAAGCCGCGGTGGCGCGGACCGCTGGGGACTTCACCGCGCGTCTAGCGGGTCGCGCTGACGCGTGGGCACTTCAGTGCGAGCCAGCGAGTTGTGCGGGCGCGGTATCATGGCAACGTCGGCAACGGGAGACACGATGATGATAGTAACTATGTTGGTGATGATGGTGCTGATGATGACAACGACGGCGGCGGGCCAGTGACGGCGCCGATGCTGATCACGCCGACGAGCGATGAGGGCGTCCTCGCATCGGTGATGAAGGTGTTGGAAGGAATTCGACATGCGCGCGCGGCCAACGCGCGAAAGTGGCCCGCATGGATGGAAGTATTCGACACGGACCGTGCGTCTCTAGCACACGTGCAAGGGCGTTCAAACTTTTTTTGACATGCGGCGCGAGAGGCCCGTCTGGCCGAACTTCATGAACATGTTGGAAAATGTTAGACTCCCCGGACAATTAGCACGAACGCGAGCGCAGGCATGTTTGAAATTTGATGTTGCAAACCCATGTTTTTTACATGTTTGTCGGGGCCAGTCGAATTGGCATTTTTGCGAACATGTAGGTTTTGAAGATTTCCGTATGCGCGCGCGACGACGCGCGCGATTGCATTTCGTTTTTCATATCTAGGGTGGACGAGTGTTCAGAGTACATATGACAACGCAGTGCTCGAAGGGGAGCGCTAAATCCGGCGGGGGGACGGGGGGGAAGAGTTAATTTTCTGTCGGAAAAGAGAATGTATGTTTTGTGCGGCGAAGAGCGTCGTCGGGGCGGCGACGGCGCAATTTAGCCACCAGACTGGCAGACAGGTCCAGGCGATGGGCGGCGACGAGGGGTTGACGGGGCGGCGACAGCGGCAACATAGCCGCCAGACCGGCAGACGGGCAGGCCCAGACGACGGGTGGCGACGAGGCGGCGACGGGGCGGCGACGGTGGCAACATAGCCGCCACACCAGCAGACAGGCCCAGTTCCTTAGAGCAAATGCAAGAACCCCTAAGTGCAAGCACTGTTAGGGGAAATATCGGAGGACGTCGCTAAGGAGGACGTCGTTAAGTTTGGGGGCGCAAGATGGATGACGTCGCTCCTTGCGAACAACCAACGCTTCAACGCACGTAGCGCTGCACGGATCCATGGCGGCTCTGTTT